CCTCCTCAGATGCCTGTCTATAAACAGGACTCCTCCTCCTCAGATGCCTGTCTATAAACAGAACTCCTCCTCCTCAGATGCCTGTCTATAAACAGAACTCCTCCTCCTCAGATGCCTGTCTATAAACAGAACTCCTCCTCCTCAGATGCCTGTCTCTAAACAGGACTCACCCTCCTCAGATGCCTGTCTGTAAACAGGACTCACCTTCCTCAGATGCCTTTCTAAAAACACAACTCCTCCTCCTCAGATGCCTGTCTCTAAACAGAACTCCTCCTCTTTAGATGCCTGTCTGTAAACAGGACTTAGCCTCCTCAGATGCCTGTCTGTAAACAAGACACCCCTCCTCCTCAGATGCCTATATATAAACAGGACCCATCTTCCTTAGACGTTACCCAGTAACTATTCTTATTTCAAAGGGGAAGCTCAACCCTCCAGTGCCTTACTCAAATCTTTCTGCCTGAGATGCACTGTATTCTTGTTAGGAACTGTCAAGTTGACTACCACTCATAACCTCCCTATGAACAAATTAGAACCTTGCACCATCTTCACTATCTCTGACATGCTTAACTCTGTTGTTACAGTCACTGTGTTAATATATCCCTGAGTTTCATCCTCTCTTTTACCTCAACACAGGAAGTCTTGTTCTAAGGACTGACTTTCCCTAATGCACTGCACTCCCTACCAAATGGCAATTTCAGACCAATGTAGACTAAAATGCTAAGTCTATCTTTGCATGAGGAAACCACTCGACAACAACGCCATCTTTATATTATTTGTAAAAGAGGATTGTGGTGTGGTGGTGTATACTGTAGAGTCGGAACTGACCCATAGCTGATCCACCTGCAGGTTTTCAGAGACAGTTAATTGCGCGGAAGGATACTGTCCATCCTTCTCCCTCAGAGCAGCTGGTGGCCTCAAATAGTATGCCTTCAGAATCGCAGCGCGGCTTCTTACCACTAGAGCTCCCTAAAACAGGATTACTAACACCCATGTAACAGGACGGTGGCATGAATTCAAAAATACACAGTGGGTACGCTGTAATTTCTGTCCTCTCCTTCCCCTCAGAATTCGCTGCCTCAATTCTTCCCTTCACGCCCTCCCCGGTCCACAACTCTCCAAGTCAAACATCACCTAATGCCCCCACATCCACGGGAGTGCTGGGAGCCTGGGAGCCCCCACCTCAGCCCAGCACAAAACCCAGAGAGCAGGAGGATCCTAGGACTGGGCAGCTTCTGGGTGAATCTTCAAAAGACTGTCTCACAGGTGAGGAGACCCTTTGAACTCCTGAAAAAAAGGGTGGGTGTGGCCAAGGAATAGACAAAACGCCCTGGGGGCTGAGCTGGCTGGCTGAGTGAAGGGAACTCGCCTGGGGTGCGGAGGCTCACTGGAAGGGGCTGGGGCCTAGCAGAATTTGTCAATCACCGGAACCATCTCCCCTGAACCCCCACCGGTGGAGTCATTCCTTTAGATAAACTCACTGTTTCCAGAAAGAAAGATCAGAGTCATCTTAGAGAAACATGCAAAATGCACTAACTTTCTTCAATTCAGATCGTTGTCATGGAGTTGGAAATGCACAGCTGACCCTCCAGTGGGTTTTCAGAGGCTGTGAATCTCAAAGGAGGAGACTGCCCATCTTTCTCCTTTGGAGCAGCTGGTGGACTCAGACCTTTGAGTTGGCAGCACGATAGATAGATAGATAGATAGATAGATAGATAGATAGATAGATAGATAGATAGATGATAGATAGATGATAGATAGATAGATAGATAGATAGATAGATAGATAGATATAGATAGATATAGATATATGCCTCAAACACGAGAATGTAAGTCTGAAAGCCATGAATGAATAGTTAAACAGTCAGTTTGGTTTTTAATATCTTAGCAACCAGGACAAAAAGGAGGGGGAGAAAAATACCAGATGCATCTTATAGATGCAAACAAATGCAATAACCTTATGTGCAATTAAGGACTTAAAAATACAAAGACAGAACAAGGGCCCAATATCAAAGGGCATAACACAGTCCACACACTCTTTCACATACTATTTTGGTGAGCAGCTACTGGGCTTTCTCTCTCTCTCTCTCTGTCTCTCTGTCTCTCTCTCTCTCTCTCTCTGTGTGTGTGTGTGTGTGTGTGTGTGTGTGTACCATCGAATCAGATCTGACTTGTACAGGAGGAGACTGCCCCTCCTTCTCCAGCAGAGTATCTGGTGGATTCAAACCACATACCTCTGGGATTGCAGTGCAGCTTCTTGCCACTAGGCCACCAGAGCTCCCTAGATATTGGGCTTTTAAAAGCTTGGAAAGAGCTCTCTTGGTTGGTCTCTCCTTCTTTGAGATAAATAAGAGGGGAGAAAAACAAAGGTGAGTAGAAACAAATAATTCAAATCCATTAGACCAAAGGGAGCACTGGTGTCTCAATGAGAAGAATTGGTGCTGCCAACTCATAGGTATACAGTTTGAATCCGCAAGTTGGTCTGTGGGAGAAGGATAAGCTATCTCCTCTCATGCGATTTACTGCCTTTGAAAACCCACTGTCCACAACAACAATTAGGCCAAAGAACAAATGGGCCATGCAGACCACCACTTTCACAACCCTAATAAGACCAGAAAAACTAGTAGCGCCCAAGCCACTATAGTCCACCACTCTAAAAGGGGTCGCAGTAGAAAGTCCTAGAAAGAGTGGAGGAAATATGGGACAAAACTCAGGACCATAAAAATGGCCAGGCTTGCTGGTTCAGTAGAAACTGCTGGACCCCTGAGAGTGTATGGCCTTTTGTCACCCTTCAAACTTGGAACAAAACTCAATTCTTTGGCTCATCTTTCTGCCAAATACTAGACAGGCCCCTAAGATGACCAATAGAAGGCAAGCACGCTTTATGACGCATGTAAGGTCAAGAGGGCAGTGTTTGCCCAAAGACAAACACCAGAGGCAGGAAGAGGTGGGGGAAATCCATGAAAACAAGAATCACATGGATGAAGTAGGAAGAATATGGTTACTTTGTTGGTATTTTAATTAATGTTATAAAACAAAATGTTGTATGAATAGTCAAATGGAAAACCAAACTTGCTTCGTAAACTTTAACTCGACTTACAATTTTAAAAATATGAACAGGCAAGTATGAAAGCCAGAAAGTCTAATTTATTGCTGTTGTGAACCTTCAAGTCAGAATGTACCCATTGCTGACCCTCCAGCAGGTTTTCAGGGGCAGTAAAACGCAGGAGGAGATTGCCCATCCTTCTCCCATGGAGCAGCTGATGGATTCAGACAGTCTACCTTTTCATTGGCAGCACAATTCATTACCACCTGCCACCAGAGCTTCTTAAAGTGTAATTAGTTACTATAATTAAACATTCAAATTGGTCTGAGAACCCTAGTAACCAGTCCAAAAGGGGTGATATGGATGATTATTTAAGGATAGTGCTATAGTGTGTCAGATGCTGGAATGCTAAAGGTTACCTGTTCAAATCTACCAGTTGCTCCACAGGTAGAAAGTGAAGCAGTCTCCTCAGTCAAGATTTACAACCTTGGATATCCATTGGAGGCTTCCAAATTGACTGTTCATTAGAAAATAACATATCAGTTCAAGAGGAACACATTTTTCGCTGTTTCTAAATTCTAAGAGAATTCCTCAAATGGAGACTTTGAACAAAACAATGTCTCTCAAACCATACTGTTGTTATGTGTTGTTGAGTCATCTGCATCTCATAGTGATCCAATGCACAATGGCTCTGAATCCTGTCCTATTCTGAGCCAACCTCACTGTCTCCAACACACGTACCCCCATGACTCCACTATGCCAGTCCATCTCATTCAGGATTTTCCTCTCCTGAGTGGTCCCTCTATCCTCCCAAGCATGATGTCCTTCTCCAAGGACTTATCCTTCCTGGAGACATGCCCAGAGTATGTCAGCTGGAACTTCAAAATCCTTGTCTCCAAAGAGCAACTTGGTTTAACCCTCTTCTGGACAGACCTGGTATCTCTGGAAAAAAAATTGTATTGTATATCCCTTTATGCAGATGACATGATAGTATACTTAGAAAACCCTAAAGACTCAGCAAGAAAACTATTGGACATAGTTGACCAATTCAG